TTCACAAAGCTGCCGAAGGATCTAGCCGTAGCTTTGGCCGATCCTATGCCCTAAGAGGCTATCAAGCTTCGTGTATGTTAGAGATGCCAAGGAGCATGCAGTGGATGTGTTCAGGAAGAAAAAGGGGTTATCAGATCCCCACATTCCTGACAAAAGGGGAGTGAGGTTGACTGCACACTACAGAAATGCCGGGATGAAAAAACAAAATGCTTAGACAGTAGACCGTGTTCCATTTATGCATTTCTAAGTTTCCTTCTTAATTTTGAGGGTATCTTTAAATATATGGTGGTCAACATTTTCAAACACACAGCTGATCTCCTACGCACTAATCCAATAGATGAAAACTTTCACTTTAGTGGCTGCTTTTTGCAAAGAGCTAAGCTACACAGGTAATTACAATCTTATTCTGTTCAGAGATTTCACCACCTGCTGTCAGCCACCATATTGGGCTAGAACAGGGGCAACCTTGGCAATCAAGCTGTGGTGAAATTACAAATTCCATCATCCCGCTGACTCAGGGAGTCTGTATGTGGCTGCAGGTCTTGCAATATCTCATGGGACTTGTATCACTGCAATAGCTGGTTAGCCGAAGTGCCTACCATGGGCTAGAGCTACACAGGAGATATTTAGCAGCTAAACTTTGCTTAAATTGCTAGTGATTAATTGCAAGGAGTAGCAATTAGTCATTATACAGATGAAACCAAATGGCTTCCTATGGAGTAAGATACACAGGCAGCCTGCAGTAGTAGTTTGCGATCAGTTGCACGTTATTGAAACATTAGAGTGTTGTGAGATCATGCCAGACTGATCGCTGCTGCATGCTATTACAAACTACAACAGGAGGTAGTAGAATATAAGGTCTCCCTCATAATCAGTTATGTAGAGATAATAAGCTGCAAGAACACATTTCATAATATGTCTAAATCAACACATCTTGGCTAAGTATTGGTTCAGCTTATTAGATGAATACAGTGGTACCTCGGTTCACGTATTTAATTCGCTCCACAATTCTGGTGGCGAATTGAATTCGTTGCAACCTGATTCGAATTTTCCCATAAGGTGGTCTAGTGTGCACAAGTCTGTCTGTGACCGCGATCTCGACTAGAAGAAACCACGACCACGTGTCAGAGCGGGGAAGATGAACACGGTCGTGTTCGTCACCTGATTTGGAGTTAGCGAACAGAAGCAAAATTTTGCCGAACTTCCTGTTCGCAAACCGAATTGTTCGCGAACAGAAGCGTCCGTGAAACGAGGTATTACTGTATCTGTATATAGGCCTATTGCCTATATACAGATTGCCATTGCCCCTATTTGAGTTTGTAACTTATACACAAGACAAAAGATGTCACTTATGTACATAACAACCCCTTAAGTAGCTTTTGTAACACATGGTAAGAAAGAGGCAGACTTTTTTTACTGAAATATATAATATTATTTGGCAACATTTGGCCTTCTGAGTCATGGGAAGGGATATTTTCACAGATTGATCCACTTTTAATATTCCTGTGAGTATATATGTCCTTCTATCAAATGCCAGTCTGTTTCTGGTAAAGAATAAACATAAGAAAAGTACCTTGTTCAACCTCTCATCAACTGACTTTTTTTGTTACATTAAATTATAGTTTAGATTTCATTTCTTGGTCTATAGACAAGAGGAATAGAAGTCTAACAGCTGCCAAATGTACAGAAAAAGCACAGCAAGCATATTATAAAAGGTGATAAAGTAGTCCAACATGCCTAAAAGCAAAAGCAGTGTCCTGCTAATCCTACTTTTCCAAAGTAAACCTAAAAATATTTGAAACAGATTTCCAAATGAAATTTCTGTTTGTGGCATTTGATAAGTAACTAACCTAGTCAGCAGCACACAAAGACAATTAATCATATGGGACCTTTCATAGTACACCATCACTATATGGTATCTATGCAAATACTTTATATAAAATGAAAAGGAAGTCATCATTAACTGTCAGATAAGATCCACTCAGGAAGTATCCTGCTGCCATCTCACCATCCTCTTCATTGTTATTCCCTCTATAGCATGAAAAGCTGTCACAGCATGGTGGTCCTGCCTTTCCACATTGTGAATGGGCGCATGGGTAACATTTAGTTTGGGTTTCATATGTTTTTATAGCACACACAGAATGAACAATGTAAAAGCTAATGAGAGTACATGATTTAAAATGAATTTACTATGTTTGGTTAAATGTCAAGTACAGTTAACCATGGCAGGAGAATCAAACTCTCAAGATCTCAGCAAAAATAAAGCAACACACAGACATGAGGTAACAGTCAGCTAATTTTGTCAAATTTGGTGGCATTTTCATATATGGGTCCTCATCATGACCACTGGATGCCCATTCTTGGAGGCACAATCGATCAGGTTAGTGAAAACCTTGTCCTGATCTCTACTTACACCTTCTATTGTGATAAAACCCACCAGTAACATCTCTTACATGAACAGGAATGGTTGGTTGTGCTAAGGTGAACATCTAGGCATGCCAATAAATGAGGACAGCAACACCTTTACGAAAACCATTTTCTGTAAGCCGAATACAGTGTTCAGATTGCTATAAAAACAATGTTGCAGTCTTTAAAGTTGTGCATGTCTTATCAGTGGGGCTGCTTTCATGGCAGGCTAAAGAGACAAGGGGCCCTGTCATAAGCTTACTATGAAACCCCATCATATACATTTATGTTCTTCTATTCTTATAGTTTTTGCTGTTTTCAGACATGAAGCATCATTCACTCTCCTATGTTCTATAACTCCATAGTCCACCAATTTTTATACCCTGATTGTAGTGCCATAGATCAAGGGCAGGTCATCCTAACTTTGGTGGTCTCACTCAGGGCCAGCCTTAGGGGTGTGCGAGCTGGCGCCATGGCAACAAGGGCGCCGTGCGGCCGACACAGCTCGTCCTGGGGGCGGCTTGTCTCCCCCTCACCGCTGGGCGCTGGCCATAGTCTCACTATATAGTGAGCTACTAGCCTGGAACAAACATTCAGTACAGGTGCTCAAACATTTCAGACTTCACTGAATGCATGCTCATTACAGGTCAGTGACTTAGCAGGAAAGGCAGAGTCAGGATGACAGCTCTGAAGACTGCATTAAAAAGTCAGCAATGGCAGGCCATTTATTTTTAGCCTCTTGGACCCCATTTAATTCTGTATTTTCAAAACAAAGTTAAAACTGGTTTGTCATTACAAAACTGCCCGTCGCCCTCTTAGCCAGGACATTTGCATGTTGTTTGCATACTGGCACTTGCACATTGCTTAGTATAGTGTATTAGAGATTAACACTGCACCGGTATGCAAAGTCCTGGACAACAGTCTCTGATAATGATTCATAAAGGGATTTCCTCCTTTCAACAAAAAAAAAACATGTGGAAAGCTCCCCCACTTGAGGGCTGACACAAAATAGCAAGGACCACCACCAATTAAATTAAATAAAATCAGATCTGAGGCTTCTGGGACACTTGAAGCTGACTGGCCTTTTTCAGTGTTATGAAGTTACAGCCCTGGAAACCCACCGAAAGCAAAGAGATAAGGTATTGGCAACACAATGCAATCAAATGACTTTAGAAACCCCTCCTTTCATCCTCAGCATGCACATGGGTTTTTGTTCCACTTTTTTTGTTAAAGAAAGACATTGGGGGGTATTTATCAAAACTGGGGCAGACAAAATCTGGAGCAGCCAATCAGCTTCTCTGTCTCATTTTCAAATTTTAACTGAAGAGAGTAGCTGATTGGTTGCCATGGGCAACTGCTCCAGATTCTGTTTGCTCCAGTTTTGATAAATCCCCCACCAAATGCATTTACAGTTAATGCCCAGGCATGCAGTTACACACACAATTGAAAGCAATATATGTGAGCTGCTTTACCTGTCAAAATATTTGTATTTCTGTTCAGCCAGTCTTGTGAGCAAGTCAGCCCTGGCAGACAGAACAGCCATTTCCTGGACATGTACTGCAGCTAAGCAATACAGGTTGACCTGGACCATGCAGGAAGTTGGGGACAGCGCTGGTGCCTGGAAAGTGTAAGTGACTATTGGCACTAAAAGGGTGGCTATTGTCACTGTTGGGGGACCTAATAATCCAAAAATAAAATATCCTGGAGTTACACTTTAACTGTGAGTTTTTTGACATTTAACATATATTTCAAATGCAATTAATCCATTAACACTTTGTAATCTTTTTTGCATAATGCACACAATTATTTGATCTCCACTGCTGCATATTTAATTAGATGAAGGGATGTGTAAAAAGTGAAGTCCGCATTAACAATTTATAATTGTTCTTTACTGAATGCAAAGAATTTTTTTCATCTCCACTGCTGCATATTCTATTTTTATAAAAGGACATGTCGATTGTGGAGACATAGCCAACAGCAAACAAACAGACTTCATTGTCTAACTGCCCTACCAGAACAAAAATGACAGTTGCACAAGGACCAACCTTACTTTTCACTTTCTCTATTTTCATATGATATCCCTCTTAGAATTTCAGTTTAAGTACAAGACTGTAACATCACCGGGCATTGATGTGTCCCATCTGTATAGAAATGCAAACCCTTCTTTAAGAAAATGGCTTATTATAGCTGTCCATCATAGAGACTGACAAGCTGCAATTGTTTCTAACCTCCCCGCCCCCCCCTTTCTGGGTTTCTTGAGAAAGTTTAAGGAGGAAGGAGGGCTCAGTCATTGAATAGAGGGCTCTAGTGAAAGTAGTGTAAGGTGATTGGTGGGAGGAGATGTAATCTAGCTGAAGAGAAAGAGAGAGGCATACACATTGTAGTGCACAAGGAAGTGTGCTCGACATATCACAAGAGACAAGTCATGACAGGGGAGTAACCTGTTCTACAGAGATCCTCGCTCGTTGCAGGATAGGACTCAACAGAAAAGACAGGACAGATCATCCACTGGTCTTATCTATTCCTTGTATATCTCACTGAAGAGACAAACACCTGTTCTACCTCATTACCCAATGGAGAACTCAGAACTCAGCAGCCCTGAGAGGCCACCAAGGACTATGCGCAAAGGTGGTGCACACTCGGGCTCCCCGCAGAGGCTCAGATGCCAAAGGCGCAGCGGGGGATCTGGAAGCAACAGAAATGGTGTCATGTCCTCCACCTCAGAGCGGCGTAATGAAAGGGAGAGGAACAGGGTAAAGCTGGTCAACATGGGCTTTGCCAAACTCAGGCAGCATGTGCCCCAGGCTCAAGGACCTAACAAGAAGATGAGCAAGGTGGAAACCCTGCGCTCTGCTGTGGAGTACATAAGGGCGCTCCAGTCTCTGCTGCTGGACAGGCAGAATGGAGAGGATGGCCAGGGGTCAGGACCAAACTCTGATGGGTTGTCTCCATGTACCAGCAGCTGCTCAGTGGACTCAGGCTCCATGCCTCTGTCTCCAGGGTCTTGTTCCCCTTGTCCCTCTGAAGAGTGTTCCAGGGAGGACAGCAGTGTGTCAGATGCTAACTTCTTCCTGACACTGCATGGCTGGGGATAGCACGCTGCAAGGTGGGTGCACCTGTAATATATAGCTGACAGCTGTTACTGATTTCAAGGTGCAGTACAGGTAAAGGAAATGTATCCATAGAGGAAAAATATTGTCTCTGGAAATTTACCAACTAAACCTAAAACTCTCTTTGTATGATGCTCTCACTGGAGATTTCGCCCATAGCAATTAAACAGAATTCTTGCTTCTTCATAAAAGGAAAGATAAAACCTGTTGGGTTGCCATGGGCAACAACTCTAATTGTTTGCTCATTTTCTTTTCTCCAGGTTTTTTTCTTCCTTTAAGTCAGCATCTTTTGACCTGCAGCATCTGAAACACAAAAATATTCATAGCCCTTTTTAATCATGATCTCTTTATAGATTGTGTACTCCTCTAAGATGCATTTTTCAATATTTTATAAAGGCGTGCTGATCCATTTAGACTGGAGCGGACTTGATGTTGGACCAATAAGAATTCAAGCTTAATGGTTCCATAAAATGAAAAGTGGTACCTGATTGGTTATTTTTGACAACTTAATTTTTTCCCCTCTAGTTTTAGTGAATAGGCTGTTTGGGTGACAAGCATTGAACAAAATGTTTAATAGCCTTTTAACAGACCCCTAGTTTTAGTGAAAGCTTGTTTCCTGACTGTTTGTGAATTCTTTTTTGCCATACAGTTGTAAAACCCTCTAACCTTATTGCCTTATTGCCATGACTAATGCCAAATTATTTTACCTGAACATAATCAATATGCTTATACTTGGCTTATTCACAAGTTTTAAAGTGACTTGCAAAACCATTTTAGAGTACCGTACCTCACAAACTGAAATCTTTCATTCTACAATATATTATTTCTGTTGTGGTGTTTGTCATGGGTAACCCAGCATATTTAATAGAGCGCAGCATACTACAATCATAATGTGCAAACTGCAGTAACACATGGCAACCTGATTTCACCTGACATCAGGTGACCTGACATTTGGAGATGCCATAACATTACAAAGTAATTGCTAATTGGCTGCTATGTGTTACTAGATCACAGACATCAATATGTGCCTTGTATAAGCCCATTTGTTCCACATGTCAGCAACGTGGACCAGTAGGAGGCACATCATATGATGGTACTGCTGAGCAAATGCTGTCTGCTCTGTTTAATTATGATAGATATCTAACATACACAAGAAGATTTATGAGAGCTGTTATTGCTACATCTAGGGTTTTGGAGAACACAAATTAACAGTCAGTAGGAATTTTAGAAATACCCCATCCATAGGGTTAAATTGAGAAAAAAAATTGCATGAGAGTAATCATGCACAACACAGAGGTAAAACCTGTCAAATAGTACCCAAGACAATAGAAATGGGGCGGGGGGGCTCTTATTAGCCATTATTATTTAAAACCTCAATCAATCATATTATCTACAAATGAATTGGGGTGTATAAGGAGCAGTAACCCACAATCAATCACATTTCACAAACTAATCAAATTTCAATTTACTGTACACACATCAGTAAATGTAAATTCTGAATGCTGTAATGAGCAGGCTACTGAACATTGCATGCTATAGTAAATTTTCCTGACAGTTCATGCAAAAAAAGAAGATAATGTCACTTGTTGAGGTGAACATTGTTTTCTTGATTTGTGTGACATACAAGCAGGGGCTTTTCTAAATTAATACGGTAGCCAGGTCTCCATTATTCATAAGGCACCAAGGGGCTCCTGCTTAGTGCAACAGGGTTAAGGTACCAATGCAGATTCAAGAACAGACTGAATATATGAGCGATTGACCATCATCTTCTGCGTGGTGTGCCAACAGTCATAACAGGTATTAAGTAACCCTGTCATAACAGAAGTACAGAGGCTGATACTGCTGACATGCTATTAAAATGTTAGTTGCCTGGCTGTTATGCTAGTCCTTTGGCTTCCGACTTTTGAATTCACTGACCTGGAACAAGTATGAAAAACAGGAAAGTTAGACAGAAGTCAAAAGCTCTTATCAACCTGCCTGTCCCAGATCAGTGACTCAACAAGTGCTGTAGCGAATAGGTCAGCATAAGTGATTAAGTGAGTGATCCTGAGCTGAAACATGGCACATGCTGATAACTTCTAGTCAGATTGTAACGCCTCTAGGAGTCATGCCTGTGACTGCCAGAGTTTTGCAACGCCTTTTGGGACTTGTAGTTCCACAATAGCTGGAATGCCAAGGTTTCCTACCCCTGCTCTAGATCATCAGCATCTTTATTAAAGATGATCTGCCCGTATTTATCAAAAAACATCCACACATATGAGCACTCTTACAATTTCCGGGAGATTGTGCATATGCAGCTTCACCATACCTCTTCCCCATCAGTATTGAAAGATCTTAACAAGTCTTTCAACCCTCTTCTTGGGACCAGACAATCCTTGGTATGTCATGAATTTACCAAATAATGAAGAAAAGGAATTACAGCCCTGGAGATTGCACCCTGAAAAAAACAAATCAGGATTGGCAGCTCCCTATTTGTGTTACCACAGGTTCTTAAGTAAATACATGGAAAAATAGTGTGTGGATGTGTGGGGACTTTCAATGAGTTGCACACAAAAGTCAGTATGCCTGACTCCAACTCCATTAAAAAAAGAACAAGGATCAACTTCAACTAACACATTTTTTTATTGCTCATCAGCTCATTATTTGGGAGATTTCTGCTCACTTCCTTTCTCTTTGGCGTCAGAACAGGAAGTAAAGACTTGCTTTTCCACTTCCTGTCTAATGGCAGGTGTCAGACAGAATAGGAAGGGAAGGAAAACACTCATATTTGGGAAACAGGCAACAATAAAGCCCCATTTTCTAGCTTAGTGATGAAAAACCTTTCTCTGGATTCTAGTGTTGTCTGTTTCTCTATGAAGGGCATTTCCCCTTACTATCCAACCATAATCTCTATTCAGTGCTAGGGAGAGTTTGTACTCTGTCCAAGTATGAATTCTTCATAGGATGGAATTAAAATTGTAGCACACTTCCACAGACCCAATGGAGAAGATTCTGATGGAGGCTGTGTGGCTCTTAGACGGCCAC